TTGACCGCTAGATAGATTGACTACAGAGTTCGGTATGTAGTAAATACTTTCTACCTATAACTTATAATAATAATAATAATAATAATAACGGGTTTTTGTATAGCGCTATTAACTAAGATCAAAGCGTTTTACATAATTAATACCCCTGATTATTGGGCCAATTGAACATTCCAAATACCATCTCAGATCCCTGGGGAGTATACAGCTCGATGCTGCCTGTTAGGCGCAAGGAAGCTAATTCAATCACAATAACCATCTCTGCCCTCACAGGTACCCATTTACTCCTGGATGGGGAGAAGCAATGAGTGATAAATTGCCTTGCCCAAGAGCACACGTACAATAACCCCAGGCCTGACTCGAACCCACAACCTGCAGAATTACCCGCAGACCACGAATTCGATGCCCCAGACCACGAGGCCATGGCACTCCACTTATTCGGACTTATTGCAATGGAAAATCTCGATCAAACTAATTAAATCATTGTTTGGCCTAAAAGAAATTAAGTTTGACTGTCCCATATCAGTACATGTTTCAAGAGTGTATAAACCTTATGCGTTAAGGCGGAGTCGAAGGGCGATATGGTACTGCGTGGCTATAGCTATGCGTGCGCAAACCATTGGTGCATTCATTGTCACTTAATTAAATTAAAGAAAACACTCGGAGGTATCTGCAACGCATACATATATTGCGGAACTTTCACCCCAAAGTCACTTTCCAAGAAGGCAGTTCCGAACCAATTGAATACCAATCGATCGAACCTTTTACTTACATGTACCACATCACAAAGTTGCTGTGCCTTTTCTTATACTCGTAAGCAATTACTTAATGCATTTCGGCAAGACTTGTTCAGGTTCCTTTTCTCAGGAGAGAGAGTGGGGTCGGCATCGTCTTGACTTATTAACTTTCTCATGAGAGGCTTTCCGCTACACACTCACAGAGAGGCGTGGGAGTGACTGATATGGCTTTTTCATCATTATCGGCTTGCGTGCGTGCTGGCGTTAACGCATTCCGCAAAGGGCTCGATTCGTCACCATCAATCGAGGACTTAATATGTACTCGGTCGATAAAGGGTCATAAAAAGAGCACAGGATAATACCGCACCAATATGTAAAAATCTGATTGACTCGCCCACAATTAAGTGGGGACTTAATACGTCTTCCGTCGAAAAAGGGTCATAAAAAGAGCACAGGATGATACCGCACGAATATGTATAAATCTGATTGACTGACCCACAATCATTTGGGGACTTAATAACTCCTCGTTTTAAGAAAAGGTCATAAAAAGAGACTAAAATGATACCGCACAAATATGTGAAAATCTGATGGACTGACCCACAATCAATTGAGGACTTGATAAGTCCTCGGTCGAAAAAGGGTCGCCGAAAGCGCACAAGATGATACCGCACCGATATGTTAAAATCTGATAGAATGACCCACAATCAGTCAAGGACTTAATGAGTCCTCGGACGGAAAGGGGACATATAAAGAGCACAGGATGATACCGCACACATAGGTAAAATCTGAGGGACCGGCCCACATTCAATCGTGGACTTACTACGTCCTCGTTTAAAAAAGGCAATAAAAAAAGAGCACAGTATGATACTGCACAAACAAATCGAGCACCACATCAAACTTTCCTTGTCCCCCAACTCTGTAGCTTAGGTTCGATTCTCGTCAAGGCTAATTATGTTGATAAGGTTTTTAACTTTGTTGTCTCATTCCATGGGATTTAAATCTAGAGATATTTTGGATTGTTTCTTTCATCTCTTCAACGGAACATAATATGCATAGTCGTCCCCCTTTAAACATTCAGTGCCTTTGCCCTTTAATGGCATTACAAAAAAGAAAGAAAGACGGATTCCTCTTCGATCAAAAACCAACAGAGGCAACAAAAACCATTAAACTAAGAAAACACGCAAGATAAATAGTCTACACGAGCCACATCATTAAGTTTGTTTACTCAAAGAAGTTGATAAATTTTACACAAGGTGGTTGTATTTACATTTCCGTAAGTCCCCCAGGTTCCTACCTTTTCCCCCAAAGACCCCTTACGTTACTCATAAATTCCCGTCACGACAGCAACATGACAAGAGCGCAAGCAAGGTGTCTGAATTATTCAGGGAGTTTTGTTTGCAACTGTTTTCGTCGAGTCCAGTCCTCACGGACCGTGTATTTTCTCAGATACCATATTTGACAGTGTGAACTAGACGCTCACTGCTTGCGTTTGCTTCTTTTTTGCTTCTTTTTTTTGCTGACGTATTTGGGCACACTTGACCTCATGTTGTCGCGTCGTAAAGTAACTCCCTTGTGTTTGTTCAGCCAGATTTCTTTGTACACACACCCGTGAATGGGTTACGGTGTTACCTTTGCGCTGCGGTTTTGTAAGACTCACAGGTCGTGTCCAAAACGAGCTTCCTCGGCAACGGGTAGTTGTCGAGGACGAAAACAGTATAGCTCTAGACACGAGATGCGGACGAGGAAATTTGCACAACCACTTTTCTCATCCCTATTTCCGGAGACCATCGATGTGCAAAAATCCACTCAATTTTCTTTAGTGATGAGAATAATAGCGTCTAAAATCCGGGCTGCATCGTCAGAGCGGATTCAGGCGATTTTAGGCATTTGACCAGGAGGATTCAGGCTGGATATGGGTCCAAGCTCTGTTTCAAGGAAATCACATCATGGATCAAAAGACTGAAAGTTGGAGAAGTTTCTTCTCTTTTTTTCCCCCTGCGTTTTTGTTTTGTTTGGACATTAAAGGTCGGCATGTGAATGACCCTGAATCAAGTGATGCAGCCAAACTATACAAAAGGCCGAGTTTTCAAAGACACCATATTAGGTGTGCCAAAATACAAGGCTTCTATATACTTGACTCTGGAGCGATTGATTCAGCCGAAACTAGAGTCAAAGCCGAGATTTGAAAGACACAATTTTAGGTGTGTGTGCCAACATTTTAAAGATTGATTGATTGTTCAAGATTTCAAGCAAATATTCGAATGCTATTTCAACATTTGCAGAACGCATTCATCAAAACGTACATTGTTTATACCAAATTTCATGTGACGGTATACCAACGGACAACCGACAGGCAACTCAGGCATTTTAGGATCTTTTGCGTGCTATTTTGTTCACATTAAACAGTGTACGTCATCACTTGAACATCAATCAAATTTCAGGAGATACACAAACAGTTCGCTGAAAGTTGGCATCACTTGACTACAACATCCAATTTCAGAACAAAATGTAACATGGTCTGTATTGTCGATTCTTTCACATCCTGGGGTGAAATTCATTTCAACTAATGGCTGATCGGCATCCTTATTCTCAATTATCATGGTGCGTTTGTTATAATTGTTTGTCCTGTCTCTCCACTTGATGATCGGAATGGATTCATTATCGCTGCCTGTATGCCAACCTCTCATCGTAAATACTGTGTTTGCCAATTCACTACAGATTGTCGCATTTGCTGATGATTGTTTGCTCTCAGAAGTGGTTTCCTGAATCATAATAATTCCGGCTGCGATTCCCCCACGTTGTTTTTAGTGGACTGTTATTATAATCGAATTAGCACAGACATTATTTGCCTTTTTAAAGCTTTTTGCTGGCTCCGATGACGTGAAGAAAACGGTTCTTCAAAATATAGCTGCGGCTGAAACATGTGGTGCGCATGTGAAATCACACCTTTATGTTAGCTTCGTCCATCGTGTGCTTGTCGCATAACCGTATACATTGTACCTGGTATAGCAAATGGGGTAATGCTGCCGTTACATGATGCGCGTCAAATGTTTCACACACATTCATTGCATGACCATAGATGGAAAAGGCAACTAGTATGGTAGCCTCAACAACTCACTACTATGTGGTTCAGATGAAGAGTGTCAAACGAGGCAATTATATCAAATGTGTCTATGACTCCTTTTTTGACACGATTTTTTTGCGCAAACCACGGATCTTCACACAAGTGAAAAAGGGCTTTGTGTGTCTGCTTTAAGCGAGAGGCCAATAACTTCTATAATATACAACATTTGCGACAGACATGTAATTATTGTCGAATTTTGGGAGCCAAAGGTATGCCATATCTTTTTTATGCCCCACATGAGATTCCACTCCATCTCAGGTTACTCTAATGCTGGTACCCCTTTATACTATGGGATTGAGAGAGGCAAATGGGGTGAAGTGCCTTGCCCAAGGACACAACATATGCTTGCACCTGGATTCGAACCCCTGACCCTCTGGTCATGGGTCACAAACCATGGCCACTTTAACGCCACTTGCTCCCCCATACCATAAAGTAACTCCTTATATAAATCACAGAAAGAGTGACAAAAAAATTGGCAGAGAACGATCCAGGATTTCACCAGGTCATTATGATTCAGAACTATTCACCGTACCGCCGAAAACAGGATCCGTCTCGCAAATCCCACGTCTTCTGTTTCACAATAAGTATTGCCTGCAGTCCTGATTAGGCTTACAACGCAGAATTACAAGAAGGCTCGGAAGTCGGCTGCGATTGCCTCGCTCAATTTTTATCCCATTTGCAAACCGGAAAATAATTATAGTTTCATAAGTAACGTATCTCTTTTATGTCCCTGAGGCAAAAAGACTCACATTTCTGATATCAACACGGCTAAACTATAATATAACTATACTTAAGACTTAAAATGCACATTCATTTTTTTTAAACTCTAATTTAGCAGTCATATTTCAGGTTATTTAAGGTGTCTGTTTGCATGCGAAGTTCCATATGAATCTGCGAGTCTTTTGGGATGCCGCGCTGGCATGATGCCAGACCTTATACCGTATGTGCATGATTCCTTGAGGGCACTGCAAAAGCACACAAAATGGGATAGACCTAGCTTAAGGGCGGAGTTAGGACAATGCTTTTGTATCGCCTGGGCGGGGCTTATTGTATCATTCTTTTATAAATGATTGCTTTATCATTCTCGTGTGATGTTAATGGGCAATTATTGACAAAGAGAGAACGATAAAGTTTCTGCTTACCAATTCAACTGATCCATAATGTCGTCGGCTGAAGACTCCCCTTCTTGCTGCTAAATCAACGGCTGAAGAACTGGAAAAAATAAAGCATAAGTACTCAATATTATCCTGATTATCTATCTTTGTCAAAGGTACGTTCTTAAAATGTCACCAATGATTCCTCAAAAGTGCCAATGATTTCTAAAAAGTTAATAATTCATCAAAAGCGCCAATAATTCCACAAGAGAGCCAGCGATTCTCAAAAGTGCTAACGATTCTTCATAACTGCAAATGGTTCCTCATCAGTGTCAATGACTCCACACGGTGCCCATGATTCCTCAAAAGTGCCAATAATTTCTTAAAACGCCGCTGATTCGTCAAAAGTACCAATGATTCTTCAAAAACACCAATGATTCACCCAAAGAGTCAATGACTCCTTAAAAAGTGCCAATGATTTTTTTTTCAAAATTACTAAGATTCGTCAAAAGAGCCAATAATTCCTCAAAAGTGCCAATGATAATTCCCCAAAGTGCCAATGATTCCTTACAAGAGCCAATAATTCCTCAAAAATGCCATTGATTCCCCAAAAGTGCCAATGATTTCACAAAGTGCCCACAATCATTCTTCAAAAATGCCAATGACTCCTCAAAAGTGCCAATGGCAATCTACCTCGCGAGCATTAAGAAACCCATAGATAGGATATAGCCTTGGCACAGCCTGGGTTGGATTCGAACCAAGATCACAAAAGTACCACTACGCCAACTTGTCTCCCACCATAAAACTAAGTCTTGTTTTGAATTTCAATTTTGCCAAATGCGACGGATATCGATATCTTTAATAGATACGATGTCTATACCAGAAAATATTAAACAGGAACAGCTTGACAAACACTTTACAAGCAAGCTATTAAAATGACAGCAACCATGATTATTAATACCTTTCTACACTTGTATAAAAATAGAAGCACCTAATCTAAAACGGGAAATCGGAAGAACTTTCTAATTTCAAAATTGTCCCTCTGTTTTGTCCAATTCTTCAGTTGTCAGTTTCAGCTTCATACAACAGATATAAAACTAAAAACACAATTAATCAGTCTGGCACAGTCGCATATTAAATTACATGTAATAAATTACCCCCGAAAACCATAAAAATACCAGTTTTATTTTATTTCAATTTGGCCCAAAATAGATCAACATCACTTGAATGTTTGACAGACTCTTAAGGGATTGGATGTCCATGGCATACAAATATGAAGACATGACGCCCGTTATAGGTGGATAATATAAATTAATTCCTTAAATGTGGACTCCGAAATTGAGTTTTGCAGACATTTCATGGCCTCTTTTTTTCTGGCAAACGATTGTAGAAGTATATTTTTCTATTCCTGAAAGAAATTCAATACATTATGAAAGGCTTTGCGTGAGCTGTGGAGCGGCGCTGGCCGAGTCGAGCTCGGGGAAAAGAAAATGTAAGAATGTCCGCTGTTGACAGATTTTATGCCAAGCTGAGGCACTCGAATTTCCCTGTCAGCTTTCACCTGTACCGTTGTTGAAGAAGCGAAGCTTAGTTGAGGGGACGTAGTGGGCCAAGCGGAAAGTTAAAGGCTTTCCTTTTACCTTCTAGATCATAGCTTATATCTCAAATACATTTTCGCACAATATCTCAGTCTGTTTCAATGTTCTAAAATGAATTTCACACTCCATGTGTATTTTTGTTTCAAGAATATATGCTTGTGAAATGTATGGAAATAACGTAACCATATTTGAGGTGTATTCTAAAATATCTTTTCCACTATTTTCAAAGTCTAATCTTGTTTATTCTGACAATTGGGGTGATATTGACGTTACGTCATCTTAGGCACTCACCTAATCAATTTAGGATTCTTCTGTAGAACTTATGACCTTATATCTCGTATCATTGTAGTAGTTGGTGTATAACATTTACTCACTGATTGGCGCTCGGTAAGTCAACAACAAAAATAATACCAAGAATTGACTAGCAAAACAAATATTTGCAATCTAGCAAAGTTTGTGCTCAAGCAGCAAGCTGCTGCTCATGACGTTACCCTTTCGCTAATGAAAATGGACATTCTCATTAACATGAATAAAATACAAAGCTAGGTCTGAATACCCTTAAAATGAGAATAAACAGGCTCAAACTTAATGGGGAAAAAAATTCGTGCATTCTGCAAATCGAGGATTCCATTACAAAGGTAATCTGTCTTCAATTGGCCCTTTAACGTTGCAAGGAGTACCGCAGTAAACTAGCTGGAATTTAAGTGTACTGAGACGGATATTTTGGTGTTACTAACCCCGAAAACATGAAATAAAAGTGGGGCAGAGCGACCTAACAGAGCCAGTATAGCTTCACCTGCGAAACGGCCAGAGGAATTTCAAAGGATTCAGTTACGAAAATTATTCCGTCTGCCGACCGGGCAAGGGTTTGTTTTCTTCCCCCGGAAGAGGCCGTTGCCTGAGCCCCCGCGGGTTCGGTTCGAAGTGAGGACCCGTCACCCAATCACTCGATATTGCTAAGTCCTCGCTAATTCAGCGGGGTGAGTCTTCGCTTAGAGTCCGAGGAATTAGCTGTATCGAACTTGCCTCAGATCAGAAGGAAAAGAGAAACTTTTTTTTAGAACCCCTGGCACCGGATAGCGATCTATTGGTCTGGTACCCCGAGGTCCCACGTGCTTTGCATCTAATACTACACAGGCTTAATGTAAGTCTTCTGATTAGTATGGTTGCTACAACCTGAGATTCGGACCCCTTTCTCCAACCGGAAAAGAAACACCTCCCTCGGGCATGAGCTCAACATAATGACGAGAGCATGAGAGAATGTTCCGTTGGGAGAAGAGATGAAAAGAAGAGATTGAATTCACCGGTAGTCCAGACTGTTCTCATATCGCGTCTGCATTTCGTCAGTTGGCAGTGATTGATTAAAAAACTGCGCCGGTGCTGCGTTCAAGACACAAACATTTATTCCGGGGACTCTCCTACAGATAGCGACCACACTCGTGCATTCCCTAATGGTATCAGGCATCTACTACGGTCCTAAAGCCCCCTCTAATCCGCAGACATATCAAACGAAAACCCTCACAAGATTTTCAATCATCAAGTACACCCACCAGGGAAATTGACAGGTTTCAATTTGAATATTTTTTTTATGTCGAACGAGGAAATGTTCTGAAGCGGTGTTTCAACCTACGACCTTTGGGTGATAAGGCCTATCCGCTCTTGGCTTCCTAAGATGCTGTATTGTGTTTTGGAGATCGCGAACCCGCTTCAGACGACATTTCTTTACTCTTCTAGAAACAGGCTTCAATAATTAACCACCTCCAACAAGACACAAACATTTATGTAATTAGCAAAAAGATATGCCATTGTCACAAAATCTCCCTTTTTCATCACATGTGCCTAAAACTGAAGAAAAGTTCTTCGAACGGTGGTAGCAATCCCTCAGTAGCTTAAAAAGCAACTCGGTTCTACCTTTCCCTCAACTTGAAAGCTGTCAAAAAATCCTCCCAAGCAGGTTCGGAATTTTGCCCGATCTGGGAGGGTTTAGGGTTAATTCTGATGGAACCGAGGAACCTATTATTCATCAGATGATATTGGCGTCGGGGTGATGTAAATCAATATTAGGTTTTGCCCTTTACCGACCGATCCCGCAAGCTCGGTGGTCGAGCGGTAAGACGCATCTGCACTAGAAAGTAGGAGGTCGTGGGTTCGAGTCCCTCCCGAGTGATTTTCCCCCAAACTTCACTCGGGAGGTAACACACTCAGTTATACAGTGTTTATACGTCGGTGAAGGGCAAAACCTAATATTGATGAACCTCGAATTGGTAACTTCCATTGCTAAATTGTAGACAATGTAGCGAAGAATCCTTCGCGAGGAAAAAAAATAAGGGGAAAACCAATTATAGACGAGAGAGGAAACTACTCAGTCTGTTCATTCTTCCGAGGAAAAAACCCACGCGATATCAAGTACTGGAAAGACCTTGCAACGGTCCCTGTAATCCACGACATGACAAGGCAGCAAAGGTCTCTGATGAAAATTGGTAATTTTCTGTTTTGTCCACCGGAACGGGAAGAGCATAGTAACCGGGGTAATAAAGGGAAAACAACCGAGAGAAAAGGGATCGAAATGACAGCACTGGGGCCTAGATCAACACAAACACGGCAGGCAGACTGTGTCGATGTTGCCCGGGGGCTACCGGGGAACTGAATACCGTCGCATCCATTACCGCCACGCTGTGTAAACTCTCTATTGGTGTCTCACGCGTTAAACCCTACGGGCGTTCATCCAAAACCTGCAGATCAGCAGTAGTGAGCTAAACCAACGAGACTTATCTGGGTGGTAATTGTAAATTAGCCCACTTCCGAAGTAGGAAGCTGTGAAGTTTGTTTTGTATTGTATTATCCGACCAAGTATATCAAATGTTGTACTTATTTTCTTTTCAGATTTTGCAATTACAACACAGTTTGAACGAAATCAGGAATCAGACTATAAAAGTCAAACTGCACAGGCCCTATGTCTCATTTTGTTCTTAATTACACATAATGAAATGATTATCTTTAGTTGGGCATTACAGATCAGTATTTTACCCGTTTTTGTCGAACCACGGAGGAACATGATCGGACTTACATGACTGCCTACCATTTTACTTCAATGATGTTTTTGAAACGGATATTATTTTTCCACCAGTTACATTTTTAGGAGTGTTATCTTCTCACAATAAATCTGCCTTTTCGAGACAACAACTAATTCTTTTCTATACCAGCATGAGAAAATTGTATAAAAATGTTAATTCTCGGGAGTCATGACATTCTTTTATTCTGATTTCCTTGGTGTTTTCCTAGAAAGATGTGGAGTAACACAACACGTACTGAACCTTAAAGGGGAAATACACCTTGCATAATTGACCCACCTTTAAGGGTGGGAGTGCACGCCGTGAGCGAACGTGACTAAAATCATCGACATGAACCGTGGATCACGTACAAACCTTTGAGTTATATATGATGTGCGATATTGATACACTGGTAGAGCTGCTTGGTATGTGGTGTTGCTTACCACGCTCACATCCGACATTCTACC